ACAAGGCCGCAGGGAGCATTGGACTGGATCGGACTGGCAATCAGTGATACCATCACGTGTGTCTCTGCGGGGGTCGCACACAGACTTTAAACTGTAACTGAGATGTTAGCATAATCAAGCCACACTCACACTTTTGTGTAAAATAAAAAAGCTGTGCGTTGACAAAGAGAGAACGTGCCGAAGGATGTGAAGAGGGAAACAAAAAAGCATAAACCCATAGACACAAAAACCCCTGTATTGTTAATCAATGGATTCAATAATTATGATGATCCACATATTCTGGTTCTGTCTGCTCCAATGTAAGGATTTTCTTGGTTTGGAAATAACTAGAAGGATGTTGTATATCTTCTCCCAACATGCTGCAATGTAATCTTCCAGTTCTTACCAAAGGACTCTGGTATTTTAAAGAGGGCTTCAAAGGGCATGTGTGAGGGCAACGTAGAACAGATTTTGCGTTTACACGATGTTTGAGATATTATGTCATTTTACCTCCCAGAGTTGCTGGTAGCATCTGTGCATCCTAATCCCTGTGGGACATACATGACTATGGATACGGATATCATTTGTATCGACACGCAGAAACCTCCTTCGGGTCATGTGGGAGAATGTTTTCAAAGTCCAACAAGCTCTATAATTATTTCAAGCTCAAAAATTGAATAGACCAGCCCGTTTATCTGTTTTATCAACCATTAGTGGAAAACAAATTTAAGGTTTACTGGCGTTAACAACAGGAGCAAATAGTAATTTGCTAGAGAGCAGCACTGTTTTCCTTTTCGTATTTCATACCCGCCTTTTGACTTGGCCTTTGTCCAAAACTCCAAGATTAATCTCTCTGTTTTCATGAATTCTGCTTAGTGTTTCATTTCCTCAGTCTGACCTTCAGGTCGTTGAAAATCCCAATGAACTCTCCCTTTTGATCCTGACGATCCGTCACTTCATCGGTCTCCCTGGCATCAGATAACGGGTCGCCGTCCGGCTGAGCCCCCGTGGTCTTTCATCTGTGAGCCGTGTCCTCTTACAGTACAGCTCTTCTCTTCCTCTGCCTAATGAGCAGCGTGTTCTTCATTACTGACCAGATGAACTGCCTGCTGAGCTCTGGACTGCGTCTTGGTGAGCTCAATGATTGGAGCGTCCCCAGCAGATGGAGAAATCCTTCAGTGGAAGAAGTGGGGCAGGAATCCATCTTACTGCCACCATCATTTCAGTAGCTCTCAAATTAGCCCTGACTAATGGGAGACCAGGGCTTACATAGCAACAATAACTGGGCCTGTCAACATTAACACGTTAATCTATGCGGTTAATATGGCCTAGATTAATGCAACAAAATATTTCAACGTAGGTAAAGTTCATTTGTTTACTTCCGGTCCTGGCAGTAAACAAATGAACGGAAGTTGACCGCAGCAACAAAACGGCCGCTAGCTGCAGTCAGTTACATCAAGATGGAGAGAGCTTTTTGCGTTGGAAGTAAAACTGACAAAACAGAGGCGCGACACACAGCGTAGAACTGTGGAGGAATTACTCCACGTGTCAAACAGAAGGGGGGTGAGTGTCAAACGGACCACTTAAAGCACTGCTAGGCTAAGATGGCTGCTAGGTTAAGCTAAGCTAGCTGCTAGGCTAAACTGGCTGCTAGGCAACTTCCATCTCAACATCCACCCTGCGCGGCACACTGTCGGCAGAGGACCAACACTCTCCCTAAAAGGCCGTGGTTTGAAAGCGTCCTGGCTAATTGTGGGGAGATTGTTTGCACTTCAAACACAGCCGTTAAATGATGGAGAGTTGAGAGCAAAGTGCACGAGGACAACAGGAAGAGTCGCTAGTTCAACAGGTTCCACCCGGTGAAATTCTGCCTCCAAAATGATCACGTGTGTAGTTTTGTGTTTAAAATAGCATTAACAATTAACCAACAGTGTCTAAAATACACACTTTCTAAAGTGATTACTTTTAGAAACTTTTTAATTTAGGATTAAGATTTAGTCTTTAGAAGAAAAACGAATATCGTCATTAATCGAGATTAATGAATTTCAAAATGTGCATTGATTAGTTAATATTTTAACACAATATTTTAAGACAGCCCTGATAATAACGTTGTACGGTAATGGTAATTGATGTTCAGTTCCAGATCCCCGCAGGTATCGGACTGTTGGGTCGGCCTTCACAAATAAGCTGTGGGTCGAGCTCTAGAATCTAGCTATCTATCTACATCTCGACCTCCCTAAAAATCTGGTGGTTAACTTCAGATTTTTCTCCGGCGTTAGCTGACAATTAACTGTTAATCGGCGGAAATAATGTGCATGCATGAAATGCCAACAAATAAAAAGCCCATCATTCCAAAAGGTGGAATCGATCAGGGAATGTCGGCTGCAGTGTGGGAGTCCAACAGGAAAAAGAGTCCTAGTCCACCGGCAAGTGGACACTTCACAAATTAGTCTCCACCCCTCCGGTCACTCCCCTCAGTCTCCATTGCGTGTCCCACCCTCTCACAGTCCCTCCACCCAGTTATTCCCTTCTTGTACCTCTGAGGCCTCGTCCTGCTCTCGGGCGGGTTCCTGGTGATGTGTCCGGAGTCCCAGATGGTCAATCTGTATTCAGCAGGGCCTCTGGGGGAGGCTGAGAACACTACCACAAGTCTCCCATCAATTCTGTCCAACACTCCCCCCCCAGTTACGGCTGGATGCAGAGAGCGCGTTGGGCCTCTGAGTGGACGGGCTCCAGCAGGTGGGAAATAGTTGGGAGAGTGGAGGAAAGTGGTCAGAACGTGTTTGTTTTTTTGTGTGTGAGGAAAGCGCGTAAATAGGTAAAGAGGCGGAGTGAGTGTTCCTCGTTTGCACAGGTCCAAAGGCCTCCTTTTATTTATTTAGTAAGCTAGCCTGCCGTTGGTAGAGTTATGATGCCTGCTGAAACATTTGGTTTCTAGTCTTCTCTGGTGGATGCTTTTTTTCAGTGTTCGGTTCATTTGGCAGTAGGGATCATTTGCAGAATAGTGCTGAGGGATGAAGTGGAAACGTCCACAGGGGCTTTTCACATGGCCTCGTTCAAACCATTTTAACGGTCCCAAAAAAGAGGCCTGTAAATAAATGAGAGATCTGCATCAACAACTAATAATATGTAATGAAGCAGGATTGAATGTTTGCTTATGTCCGGTTGTAACAAATTTATATTTGTGTAATATAAATAAAAATAAAAACTGTTCACGGCAACTTGCACAATCAATTCTGGTGTGTGTGAGAAGAATGTCATTGTAATAGGATACATTTTCTAATGAATTGAAGGAGTATGATTGTCTCGGACTGAGACTAGTGCTCTTAAACGGATGTCACTGCCCAGTAATGAGCCATCTTATGATTGCTGGTGCCGCTCAGATATGATGATGTCGTCATGGCGACAAAGGTGCGCAGACGCGTAGCAGACGACAGTGCTCATCAATATGACTGGGCTCTGTGGCCAAAACTCATATCACAGCATTTTGTGAGATTCTGACGGTATCATCACAATCATTACAAGTAAACACATTAATTCATTGACCCCGAAAAGGACGGCCGGCTACCCGAACAGCTGTTCATCGCTTGTTGTTCACCGCTCTCTGTCCAACTCGCTCGCAACCGGCTGTGAGTAAGCTTGTAATGGTGTAAGCTGTTGTGGCTGCTAGTGTTGCCACCAGAGGAAAGACCAGCGGCTCGACGGACTTTGCAATAAATCGTTTTCTGATCTAACTTACGTCAGCTTTTTCAAAAACAAAAACCCTCCAAAGAGACACAGCTCCTTCCTTGGGCACAAGTTGTGTTTCTGCATCTCTGGTCTCTCGTTATTCCTCCTGCATCGCTCTTTTCCGTGTTTTCATGTAGTGACGGAGTGTCTTCTTGTGATAGCGGGCGAGCTCTACCCAGCATGCCGGGGTCATTTCATGTCTACCTTTTTATGGACTATTATTAGTGTTACAAATTGTTAATGTGTCACAAGCCGTGGTGTTTTACCCTGTTAAAGAGCATTTGTTGTAGGTTTTTCATTGTTACAAAGTTATAATCGTGACTCAATCTCAACACACGTAAGAGAGCTCCGACCACAACGCGCCCAGCTGCCTGTCGAAAAGCAACAGCCGTCGTTTCAGCTCAACGTAAGGAAATCCGCCCAGCCCTACTCATGAATTTTGCCTTGCTTTTTCTTTTGTTTTAGCTTTTTTTCGTGTTCATCACTTTTGGCATCCAAGAGAAAACATTCATCAACATGTGGAAATGGAAGCGCTCGGAGTGCAGCAGACTTTGACAGGATCACGATGCTCCGAAGGACTCACTGGGATCCGCACCGTGTGACGTGTTTTGTGGGACAAATGGAGCTACGGCTGAATCTCGTGGTGCATCCCTGCGTTGCATGATGACAATAAATGACCTTGAAGCATTGAACCCTTGATTATCACTGAGTGCCCTGGCGTGGAGCCCCCGCAGAGTCCTTCCCTTCCAACAAACAGGCTCCCTCACAGCTCCCTGCTCTCCGCCCACCACCCGTCAATCGCCCGTCTCTGCCATGGGGAGCTGTTGTTCTGCCTCTCATTGCCTTTCCCTGCTCGTGGCTTGTAACCACAGCACAGCAGCCATTGATCTGAAAACACTCAGCGTCCAAATTGATTGATGTTCATGTCCGAGACCAGATGGTTTAACGCTTCCTGCTGTATTTCCCACACCCACTGGCTGGGAAGATGTAGACCCTCAAGCTACTGCTGTGCATGACGCCTTTCTGTCAATCATCAACATTCCATTGACCTGGAATAATAATAATAATATGAGTTATATCTGATACGTTCATTTGTTCATGATATAGTGATATTAGTAGTTATTACGTGTGATTTTTCATATGCACTGTTAGGGTTAACGTTCTCTATAACGGAACGTTTAAAGAAGTCCTATATGATATGTTTCTATCGGGCCCGGAGGTCTGGTACGGGTCAAGCCCGTTTTTCTTTTTCATGGGTGAACTAATTGGTGTGTGTGTTTGTGTGCGTGCAGGGAGTGACGTACTGCGGGGAAAGCGCCGCCAGCAGTCTGACCATGGCCAATGTGCCCTGGCACCAGGAGGTGGTCTCCTTCGTCCAGCAGCTGGCCGACATGCTGCCTCAGTACGAGATCGCCTGTGAACACGAGCACTCCAACTGTCTGCTCCTGGCGCACACCAAGGTAAGCGGGGCGGGGCTGCAGACGACCCTCTAAGCCAAATAACCCCAAGGCAACTGGGCGGTGCGCACGTTAGCAAGTGGCGATCACAATTTGGCTCCTCGCACAACTACACAGCCGTGAAACCACTATGTCCTGCGACACAATCAAAACTGCACTCTCGCCTCTCGCAGCAAACCACAAAGTGCTGACTAGAAACAACTGGGCTTTAAGAAGCTCGTCAAGGGGAGGCTCTGTGAACAATAAAACCTCATTTATTACACTAGTTGTCAGAAGACGGACACATGGAGTTTATCAATTTAAACATCGCAGTAACAAGGACAACGACTTCTCTTGCGTGCTTATTTTCTGCCTCATCACAGAACTGCTTGTCCTATCGTAAATAGAGATTCAATGATGGGAAAATTGTACTTTTTTATTAGTGAAGCAATCCCTCATATGATGGTTCTTTGTCAGGCGCCTTTCCTTCCTCTGATCTTAACTTTAATCGTTACTATAACTGTGCATTTGTCAGTCAGCGCTCTTCTTGTTCGTCCAGTTTAAAGCATCACCATAAGGTTTAAGTGCCTTTAGTCACTATGTTGTCGTCTTCATGTTGTGCCCTTTTTTCAATTTACATACAGACCTACCAAAACAAAAGTTAAGAAGGTTCTGTGATGGCAAAAGTACCTTCCTAAAATCAGATGGGATTATTTTTTGCATAACCAAGTTATGAATTATGTTTTTCTGTTATACCAACTATTCTAAAAGTCACCTTGAACTGAGATGAAATGGTGTTTCAGATGTAATTGTTTTCAGCAATGAGGCCTCTGGTTGAACTGACATGTAGGCCCGTGAATTAACTCAATTATCACTGTCACTATAATTACACACACACACACACATCGATCACCCGACGTCAAACGTCTAGTTGTTCCCTTTGTTCCTCACACACCAGCGAGGACTCCTGATCATTTATTCATTTAAACTTTATTTTTATACGGACATCACAGCAGCATGAGAGTCATTGTTAATGTCTGGTTGTCACTAATATGACGGGTTCCTCTTCTTTCCTCTTGTGTCTCGTCTTTCATCCCTCAATCGTTCTCTCACCAACGCTAACACAACGGTGGCCATTTGTGCGGCCGCGTCGGACCCCTTCGTTCATTCACCTCCTCCTCAACATTCCCTCTCATTCTGAGTGCTCGCTGCTCTGAAGCAGCATCTGTCTGCCTGTTAACCAGCCAGCGGGAGAGGAAAGGTGCTTTTCACTAGGAGGAGCTTTCATTCCAAACACACACACACACATACTGCCGTACTGCGACATTTCTCTTTTAGTTTTCCAATTCATGTTGACCTATTCTTCATTTTTGGGCCGTCGTCAATAATCCAGCAGTTTGGGAGCTGGAGGCCCTTCCAGCTTCCTCCAACGGAGGGTCTGGTCTTTTTCTCTTGTTTGTCTTCAGCATCCTGAACGTCTCTTCGAGCAACACACTTTCAGCAGGAAGAGAATGCCGAATTTTAACTTGGCGTAACGGCAGAGTTTAAAATGCATCACACTGGTATCGTGTGTGCACTTACTGCACTGTCCTCAGATCTTCTAGTTCAAGTTGGACAATATCACCATTTGATGTTGTTCTTTAACAGACAGCAGAGGTGTGTGTGGGTGATAGATCCTCCCTGCACTGACACATCATCATCATTAGTTCCTCTCCCTGGGATTCTCCCCGCTGATAGGCATTTCTCTACCTCTCTCGCCCCTCGTCCTACTTTCTCTGCCTGTTCTCTTTCATCTCCCTTTCTTTGGTCCCTCCTTGCCTCGCCGCCCTCCTCTATCCTCTTCCAATTCATCTCAGTCAGGACGCGGTTAAGGAAACGCCACAGTCACAGTGGATGCTCCTTCTGAAAAACCTGTTGACTCTCAAATCAGTCGACCTGTCTCAATGAAGTTATCCCTGACAGACTTACTCGTGTTCCTTCTTTCTTAAAGGGACAACAATGTTGTTAAAGATGCATAATTGACTGATTATTTAAGCTTCTCAAAGTGCTGCAACTCACTGATTACTCACTGTTGTTTATTTCTTTCTTAGAATTGATTTATCAATTAGAAAACTAATCAATCCATCTCTATTGCTAACTACATTCACTTTTGCTGCATTCATGATCCTGTCAGTTCAATGCAAATGACTGGATGACCTTCAAAGTTGCACAGGAAATTACAATTGTATACGGTATTGTGATCTTTTGACAAGCGAGACTAAAGTGGTTTATGTATTGATCCTCCTCAGTTGGTTGAAACACCACTTTGCAGAAAGGTCTCTGCAGTGCAGCAGAGAGTCTCATTTCCTGAAGACGGAGACGAGGTGTGACGATGGCCCTCCATTAGTTCTGTGATTGTGTGTGAATGCGCTGCACGGCTCATTGACCCGTGTGCACACATGATGTGTCCCCCCCACCCCTCACCCCCCCACACACCCTCCCGGGCCCCTCGCGGTGCTCAGAGAAGAAGCCGCCCCGGTGATCGGCTCCGCTGGTGGAAACAACAGGTGTTCTCATCCCAGACGATACAGCTTCGCCTTGTTGCTTGGAGACCGGAATTGTTTGCCAAGAGCCCCTCCCCCCCACCACAACTCCTCTTTCTAATGCCTCATTATCGCTGCAGTGGGGTTGCCGTTAAAAAAGGCTCATCTTTACTTAACTGTAACTTGGCAAAAACCTCCTCAATTACTATATTTGTGTCTTTTTTCGAGCTGCTGCTTCTCTGAGATTGTCGGCGACGTGATGAAAAGCTCCTCCACGCCCGTCTTAAGAATAACATCCCAGCCCGAGTCCCTCAGGATTCTAAAGGACGCCGCTGTGCACACGCGGGGGCCGGCGGGCCAGAGCAGCCTCCGACCTTTTAAAATGCTCAACTCTGAGAGCTAGAGGCACAACAATTGTCCATGAGAGGCCATTTCCCAAATTACATAAAAAACAAAACAAAATGCAAGGGGCATGAAAGCCATCAAGGACTATTTTAAAGATGGGACTGCAGAGGAAAAGGTTGCGTGTTGTGTAATGCTAGGTTTCTTCAGTCTTTGTCATCTTTGCATTCGGAGCGGGAAATATGGTTTTCCCATTCCATATTATGGGGCGACCCCGCCCCCTGCCGTCGACAAAGGTCAAGTTAATTTTGTTTCATCTCATTTTTTCTATACAGCTCCAGATCAGAACAGAAGTTATTTAAGGTTATGTTAAGGGTTCGGAAAGCCCTCGAGGGAGGCCTCACTCCTTTCTCGTCCCGGCCGGAAACAAAGAATCAAAAGTCAGCTTGCTTAAATTCAAAAATCAAAACTTATTTAATAACTAAACAACGTTATAAGGAATACAATTACAAAGTGAAATACAAAACGAACAGTAAAATATTTTGCGAAATAGGGAATTCTCTGAGCAAGTCTAAAGCGACTTATCAAAGCGGCTGCAGGAAAATTCAGAAAAAAATCAGTCCTTTCCCCGCTTTGGTCCTTTGAAAACTCTTGAGGTGTGTCTTCTTGGGTGCATTTGAATGTCATTGGCTTCTCTTCAAACGTGTCTCCTCCTGGACTGTCCCCTTCACATCGAGGTGTGCAGCTGTAACCTGAAACCTCTGTCCCATCCGTCCCTCACATTCCAATGCATTCAATGTAGATCCACTTGGCTTTATGCCCCAATGAGTGAATATAACTAAGCATGCATCGTTTAAGTCTTCATCTTATAACTAGTACACTTTAATTACAACACATCATCAATGATCACCGTTCAGCACACTACATCATGAGATCTAATACAGTTCATGTGGTCCAATTCTCAAGACATTTGCCTCAATCGGCTGTCTTACATTCAGTTGCTCATCTACTACCTGACAGGAGAAAAAACTCCCAAAAAAACCTCTTTGGGGATAAAATTGGAAGAAATCCATAAAGGACGGCAATTAGCATCCGTCCTCAGGTTTTAACATCACATTGTGACAGAATGTTAATGTGTACAGTGTTTATATGATTAACATGACTATAACTTGTGTTTGATTCATATTGCATTCACTTCATCTAACATGCTAATGTAATAACTAATATCTAACATCACAAACTATATTTCTAGCACTAAACATTATTACACGTATTACAATTTCCACCACTAGGGGTGCACTTCTCGCTTAAATCCCTAACAGTTACCTGTCCTAAAGAACAGGTCTGTACCTCAGACTAAATAAATAACATAAGTTATCTCACTTATACCACGACATGTTATTTCCGTCTCCGCACGTTTACAACTGAGGGAAAGTAGAGCTCCCGCTCCCCAACATCAGGGAGCATCAGGCGATGATGGAGACTTTTCCTTTACTGGGGAAAGCTCCAACTTCATGGGGAGGGTGGGGGGTGGTTGGCCCTTTATTCCTCCCTCTGTGTCGGACAATAAGGCTTTGCATCTTCGTATGACGTCCTTATAAAAAAATATGAAATATTGCCACAAAAAAAAATATATCTATAACCTTATTATATCTATATATATATCAGTTGCCACAAAGGCTAATTGAAGAATAGAAGTCTCATTCTGTTACTGTTTTGTTTTTGTTTCTTCCAGTAAGTGTTTCAAACGCCTTAAAACGCATCGAAAGGTTTCACGTTTCCACCATCAGACCCACTGACACGCACCTTCCTCCGCCTTTGCTTGCCCCCCCCCCTTCCAGTTCAAGGTGGACGGCGAGTGGTGGACGTGGATCGACTACGAGCGCTTCCAGGATCTGGTCCAGGTCCAAGAGGAGAACGGTGGACAGCGGGGCTTCTCGGCCCTGGACTACATGGCTAAGACCCCCGGCTGGGCTCTGTTCGGGGCCCACGAGCAAGGCTTCGACCCCGCCGACACGCGCTTCCAACGCCGCAACAAGACCAAAGACATCTCAGGATGCTAATCCATGTGAGCGAGTGGAGGAGAGGCAGGGTGAACAGGACGGGCACTATTCCTTATAGCAGAAGAAAGGGCTCAATGTTTATCCTCGTTTCTTTTTTTTTTGTACCGTCCTTAGCTGACCTCGTTCTTGCTCAAACACTTTGTCCTTCTTTTCATTGTGTCTTCAATGTGGATGCGTCGTTTAATTGGCTTGATCAGCCAGAGACTAATCAAAAATCGATCCTTTTCTCGACATTCCCCCTTTGCTTCCCCGTTAAGCGCTTCTCCTGCTTCCCGTATGTGCATAGAGCTGTTTACTCCCCCCCCCCCGCCGTAAGGGTTGTCATTATGAATGTCGATGGCTTTGATCCGTAGAAACATCGGGCGGCACTCGGGAGGGTTTAATGAAGGCGAGGCAGGAGCTCTCCTCCACGTGTCGTCTGTGGGAGCGATACTTCATCCGGACACTGGCGGTATTTTCCGGTGAAAGAGACTCGGCCTTCTTATTGCTGCCTTTGTGCTATTTTTGGGGGGGGTTTTGTTGCACATTCCTTGCCGTCCGCTTTGCTTATGTTCTGACTGTACTTTGGCTTTTACCGGTAGTTCTGCCATTCCAACTCTCCTCTTTTCATGAGTAACGTCATGTCATAAAATATAAGAACATGTTGCTCATGTTTGTTATTGACTTTGAGGTATTTGAGCTCACATACCGAAGAATGACGTTAAAAAAATAACATCACTGAAGCCACCGAAAGGGAAAATATTTCATCCCGTTTTTGTACTGCGGGTTCCTCCCAGAACACAAAATTGAGATCCACATACTCTCAGGTATTCACGTCTTGTATCATTACAATTCATCTCCCTGCTCTCGGGCACAGAGATGACGAATAAACTCTTCTCATACTGCAGGTTTTTATGTCACCCAAATCCCAAATGTCTGCTGTCCACCCAGGATCAGGTGCGAGTATGAAGAACGGCATCATGGGGGCAGATGTGGCTTCATGTTGCATGCTAGAATAAAGCCTGATATTTTAATAAATCCACATGTAAGAAATATCCAATTTCTTTTCTTTTTTCTTATTAATGTAAATTCAGATGTGAACCTTTAAGTCTGTTTTGATTTGTTTTATTTGGGTCTAAATCCTGATGTGAATGTTTAAGTCTGTTTCAATTGGTTTCAACTCCCCTTGGGGGAAGCGGCAGGTGTGGTGATATATCGCCGTAATAAATGTTTGTGGATTAAGCTGCTCTGTGATTTTTGTGAAGCTCGTATGCAGCACACATACACACTAGTTTATTAAGGCCTTCTTTTCTTGTCTTGTCATTTTCTTCCTTTTCTTTTCTATTTTCTACCGGCAACAAAGTGGGTTGACATTTTAAGACTATAATGGTGGCGAAAGCTTTCTTTGCTGCACTTTCAGCCAACAACAGAGCTCTGATTGAACAAGGATGGAAACCGTGGTGAAGTTCAAAAGTAATACAGCTGTGCACCAGCATTTCATCAATTTTAGTCTGTGCTATAAAATAATCCTAAATGGGCAGTGAAATGTACAGGAATTACAGATTTAGGCAAGGCAGGTTTATTTTTTATAGCCCATTTCAACAAGGCAATTCAGAGGCAGGTGTGATATTGACCTATCAATTTTTATTGCTTTAGCGTCTAAATGATCCTTTCCTAGAAGTGGTTCAATAACGGCAGTTTTAAGAGCTTGTGGGGAGACTCCTCAGAGGCGGCATGTGTTAGTAGGAGATCAGCCGTCGTGCAGTTTGAAATATTTTGGAAAAAGTGTGTTGGAAGAATATCTAAGCAGCAGGAAGACTTAAGATGTTGTATAATGTCATCTAGGCCTGTTTGGTTGATTGAATTAAATTGTGTCATGGTGTTCGGTTTGGAGGCGCTGACTGCTCGTTGATTTTACCAGCGAAAAAGGAAGCGAATTGATTGCATGCCCAGGTGGATTGGAGCTCACCAGCCACTAACACTGGACAGGTAGTAAATAAGGCGAGTGTGTTGTTATTTTTAGTATATTTAGTATTTTCAGTAAATAAGTAGCAATTTTGAAGTTCCGAATTATAATTACGAAGTCTGTCTTTATGTCACAGTGGACCTCATTTGTTTTTTGCCGCCTGCGCTCAGCCTTCCGGCACTCTCCTGTCTCTATTATGGCCAGAGGGACATTTCTCCAAGGAGATCTTCGCTTACCTGAGACAACATTCACTTGAGCGGCTGCAACGTCATCAATAATATGTTCTACTGGAATTGAAGAGGTCTACGAGGTCACTGACAGAGATGCAGGGCTGGTGTGGAGGAAAACCTCTGTATGAATAGTGAGTGATGGTTCAATGGTTTCGCCATTTCCATTGTCGGGGAGCCGGCGGGGCCAGCTCAGTGATGGTGAATTCTGCTTTAGTCTGGGAGCGGTGCTCTCCACTCCGCTTCTCTAGTTTCATCCTGTTAACAAGGCGCAGGGAGTTGATAAGTAAAACACGCCAATCCGTAAACCGCACCAAGCATGCAAATCCGCCTTAATTAAATACAGGTAAGGGGTCAAAATGGACTCTGCTAGTTTACATGCAGGTGTTTCCACGATGCTCCGGCCTGTTTAGTGAGATAAATGGCAGGAGCAGGCTGCACATTTCAGGAGAGAACCTGCCTGGAGATGATGTAAAATGCCCTGAGGGATGTTGGGTAATTGCCGTAGTGCCTGGCGGAACATGTGGTGACAGGTTGCAGAGGTGCTTGAGTAATCGGACGTTTTTTTTTCTTTATTTTGTCACATAAGTTTTAGTCAGTGTCTTGCAGCAATTTGGCCATCGTCACTCTTGTGACACATGTTTGCTGTGACGTGACAAGTCTCCAAATTGAATTTATAGCCGATACTGGATTATTGTTACTATCACCGCACATCAGTGATCTTAGCCAGATCATTTTTTTTATATTTTGGTTACAATCAAACGGCTGTGGCTACAAAAGCTTCCCACGCGACGTGGATGTGGCGTGGAGGGCACGCCCCCCCACCCCCCCCCGCCACCCTCGATGTCCCCCTTTACCCCATATGGCATCCACTTCAACCTCAAATCTGGCTCAATTAAAGGCAGCAACAAACAGAAAAGTCTCCAGTCTTATTTTGAAGCAGCCGAGAGTCTCTGCAGACCTGCAGCTTTCTGGGAGTTTGTTCCAGTTCTTTGGTGCTGCGTCTCCATGTTTGGTACATAAGGCCCGATGTGAGCGGCCCTTTGGATATCTGCTTTGTGCTCGTTGGGCGGTTCGATAATGTCACAGAAGCGTTGCTCACACACACACACACACACACTAACGCCTGTAGCTCTGTTTTCACCGTATGGCTATTAGCTTGTTAGCTCCCAGCCGCCGCCATGTTGAGAGCCGTGTGAGGCAACCTCAGAGATGCTCTTGAATTTTGAAGGTAGTAACGTCCCCTTCTGCATGAGCAGAACGCACACAGCTAAAATATGTATGGGCCTATTTTTGGGAAATGCAACAAAAACAAAAAGGCATGCAGAACATAGCAACGGTTATTAGGAAAATTCTGTCCACAGGGGAATGATAAATGCGTGGGATTGAAAACGACATCTGTCTCATGACTCCATCATCTGCTGTCTAATATATGCAATGTTTGGTTTGCTAACTTAACCGGTGCACTCAGTTGGAATCACTGAACGCTTTAGCTAAATGACTGAAATACATGAATGATGAATGGGCTCAGTGGTTCTTTTCAGTGTATTTATCAAATCTGCTATATACTGTATACTATGCGTCTCACTTGCACCTTGTCGATAAAATCATTTGCAGTTATTGAAGAGCTCATATTACCTTTCAGTAAAAATGTAAATGCCTCTGTGAGCATGTCACATAAATTCCATTACAAACAATAAAACAAATCTAATAGAACAAGAGTAAAACGTTCTCAGGGAACAAGAAACAAAGACAACTGTCACATGTTTGCGACCTGATACTATTCTGGCTTATTGTCACGTACAGAACATCCCTACAGAAAAAAAGGCTTTATCATCCACACATTTTTCTGGCAACACACCACAGTGACCAAGAAGTGTTAGATTCATTTTAATGTGAATGCATGCAGTGACAATTTTTGAATGAGAATTTTTGTTTGTTTTTATCATCCTTCAGCATTTCTGCCTCAACCACAGAGAGAAAAACAATCCATATTTGAGACCAAACAAATCAGTAAAGATGACAGTTATTCTTTTTAACAGGGAGCGTGCTGTTTGGGAGAGGAGCGCAGACGGGGGATAACATCAGATTATTTAGTAAGCCTGTTCGCAGGAACATTACTAAAGGTGAGAATCAAACAAAAGGTTGGTCCCTCAAGAACAGGATCCTAAGCATTAGGCTCAAACATATGGGAAGCTAAACTAGACACTCGGCTGTGCCCAGACAATGACTTTTAAATAGAACTTAATAAAAAACGAAATAAAAGGATTTTATTTCATGTCCAATAACCTTTCTGGATCCATTATAAAATAAAAGCGACAAAAATAGATAGAAACGTCAAAGTGCACCCATTTTCTCTTGTTGAGTTCGCGGAGCGGAGGTCTGCTCGACGATATCTCATTAGTAAAGCAGCTTGTCCACTTCATGGGGAGTATTTCATGACGTGGATGTTCTCATGCAGGCGTCATGATAAATGTGCCCAAAGTGATAATGGTTCTTCCACATAGCTGATAAATATGTTAGAAGGATGTTATCAGATATCAGATGGTTGTCAGATTGAGATGGAGGGAGGTGGGCGTGTAGTGAAGAGTGTTCAAACCATTACCTGTGTGTGTGTGTGTGTGTGTGTGTGCGCGTGCAAGACAGTCTTCTATTCCTCAGCTCGACCCGTGTTGTCCATCTGTGTCCCAGCTCCTCTCCCTTGATGGGGGAGTTCTGTCACCCGCTGCTGGGCGTGGTCAGCTGAGCCTTTGCCATCACTGTGGCTGGGTGAAAATTCAGTGTCATTATATTGATTTACTACCTGTGGGATTTTATCGTCATTTCCCAAAAGGCTGTTGTCCAAATAATTATTATGAGCAAATGTATTATTCTTGTTACCATAATTAAAATCCTATATCATTTTGTTTTATATTGTTATTATTAGTGTCAATACTATTGTATCTCTACTGTTAGTATTATCATTATTAAACGCTTATTGAAAAGCACAACACAGGTACATTTATTATAGTTTTTAATGACCATTAAACAACCACCATATGGTGGTTCAAGTCAATCTGGAGACTAACAACAGTAACTGTGAAAATGTATTTGGTTTGTTTTTATCGAGCCATGTCCCATTCAGATTACAGATGTCTCTTCCAAGGGAGACTGTCCAAGACGTCACGATAAATATTTCGTACATGAAAACACAAATACCAACCTCGCATCAAATAGACAAGGGAATAAACTCAACACAATCAGTAAATGGCATCACCCAATGCATTCAGGAATAAGGAAACATTTATTACCAAAATATGTCAGACGTACAAGGACTTTGACTTGGCGATTGGTGCATAACAGCAGACAGTTAGACAATGGACAACAAGACAGATAAGACGACATAGTGCAAGAGGAATAAAATAAAATATAATGCTATGGGTTAGTATATAAGGCTATGTGTTAGTTTAAAAACAAAGGAATAAAAGTTTTAAAAAAAAATGTTAAAAAGTGAAAAAATAAAGTTCCCCAGCGAACAGAAAGTGACAAGTGTATGTGCATGTGCATGTGGAGTGAGAAGGGAGTGACCGGTGGGATGTCAGAGTCAGTCAGTGGGGGATCCGGGCTCTGTTGATGAGCCCGACTGCCGACGGGAAGAAACTGTTTGTGTGGCAGGAGGTCTTAGTCCTGATGGACCTCAGCCTCCTGTCAGATGGAAGGGGCACAAACAGGTTTTGTCCAGGGTATTATTGAGTACACATTTGAGCTCAAGAAGCCCAGAATCATGTCCTTAGACGCTCAAGTGCATTAGAAATAAACAACTTTAAACTGAAGCCTGTGAGGCCTCGCCTGTCCGTACATGAAAGCATTCAGACGTGCACGGATGAGCTTGTCGGCACTCTGTCAAAGCAACGGATTTGAGCACCTCGAGAGCCAAACGTTAAGCTGCCTCCGCCGAAGAGGAAATTGCTGAAAATGACATCAACATCCCAGAAACAACCTAAAACGCATTAGACATTCTTGTCTAGTGCAGTGAGACACTGGAAAGATGTTTGGGTTATTTACTCATT